GGACTGGGGGTTGGGGAGAGCTGGGGAGGGGGCTCAGCGTGGAGGGAAAGGACAGGCTGGGCCGGTCACCCATGCGGCCATGGGATGGGGTGCAGGAGCTGGGTGAGAATGTGTTTGGGGGAGTTGCTGTGGCAAAGAGAGGTTTGGGGTGTGCTGGAGCGGACTGGAGAGAGCACTGGGAGGGGCTAGAACTGGGGCAATGTGTGTACCAAAAATGTGGTGGGACTATTTTCCCTGGGTCCCAGATGGCAGCAGAGTCCACTCAGGTCCCAGGGCTGAGTGAGCTGGTCTTCCAGCGTCACCAGGACCGGAGCGAGTTCCTTGGTAATTATGTCATTGATGATATTACCTCCTGGAAACAGCACGTCACGCGTGCAGCGCGGAACGGGGAGCCGGGCCTCCTGGCCTCTCCGTAAGGACTGGCATTTCTTAGATATTTGTATTATGGTTTGAGCTCTCTGGTTTGCTGGGTCGTCCTGTCGATGCAAAATTTATAAGTAGGTAAGACAGAGGAAACAGAAGGATAGAAAGGTGAAGTGATTTGCCAAAGATTACAAAAAAAAAAAAATAATCAGTGCGAGGCTGAAATTACAGCCTGAATTGCTTGATTCCCACTTGATTCACCCCGGAGAGTGCGACCCTTCTCTACCACTTCTCCGCTGTCTACCCCAGACCTCTGCTCTCTCAGGGTAGGAGCTGGGGTAAGACCCATTCCTTAAAATCTTTATTTTAAAGCTTCCAAAACAACCGTGCCCACATGGAGGCAGCAGCAGAACCTGCAGGAAACAGCCACGTACCAGGCTTGATCATGCTGACTCAACAGCATTGCTGATGTCTCAGGTGTCCGGTCCCCATCACATCAGCATGCCTGCCGCAGGGGCACGGCTCCAAGCCCATCCCTTTCCTCGGCTCAGAAGCCCTACGCAGCAACTGCATCTCATCAACAAATTGCTGATCAGTCACCCAGGGTCACGGAGTGGGAAAGAAGCCACTGCAACCAAACTGCAGGAGACAGGAGCCAAACATGAGCATATCACACTCAGAATACGAACGTAAATGTCAGCGACTGCCCTAAAACCTTCCACATTCTCCACTGTTTCTCCCATCTTATCACCTAGGACCGAAATTGAAGAGCCAGGTAATACACAGACTTCATCTTCCACCTTCCCCTCCTCCTTCATCTCTAAAATACTGTTCTTGGCATTAGAAATGTAGGAGAAAGAACCCAGGCTGTGCAGTTATCTGCCGTTCATCCCTGGATTTTCTTCCCCTGCGTGCCAGGTTCCTGCCCCACACTCGTGTAGTCACATCCAGAAATACAAAGCATTTGCTGTCCTAATTCCCAACAGATTATTTAGGTAGCTGATATTTATGAGGACTTTGTAAGAGGCCTTGGTGCCTGTATGTTTTTTTTGCCCTGGCAAAGCAATTTACCCAAAGAGAAACCAGACCTGGGGGTTGGCGTCTGTGTGGGCAAGGAGTTAAATTTGGGTGCTGGTTTGAGAAACGCAACTTGACTCTGCACTTCTTGAACTCTCAAAAAGGTGCCATGCACTCAAAACACTGACGCCTTGAATTCGCTAGCGGAGCCAAGCTTTGTCAACAGCTGCTGGCAGCTTGGGCAACTGCCATGTGATAGTGTTATTAACCTTTTCTCATTTACATCCAGGTCTTGAAGGAGGAGGCGTGTATCAGCTTTCTTGTGTGTCCTACTTTTATTACACTCCCAGTCTTGCAGTCTTCCCCTGACATCCTTCCCAAATTGCTGGAGTAAGTAAGCAAGAAGACATAAGAAATGGATTAAAAACAGAGACCAGAAAAATCCCCTTCACCCCAAACAATCTCTGCAGGAGTAGATCTGCAAGGAGAGCTGCTCCTCCGAGGAGGGATTCTGCAGGACTCCTTCACTTCACGGTCCTGCCATACATTTGCAATTCTGTTCACATTTTTCATTTTGCCCACCTGCTTTGCATTTGTGTGCGCATTTCTCAGGTGGTTGGGAGCTATGCTCTAGGGTACACAGCCAGCTGAAGAACACCTGCTTCCCCCTTCCATCCACAGCAGGATAAAGGATGAAACCATATTTAAAAAAAAAAAAAAATCAAAATTACATTTTTAGGAAAAAAAGTAAAATTCTATTGCTTCTTACTATTCTGCAGTGACTACACTTCTAAAATAGAAATCTGCCCTGTGCTTGTTCCCCGCTTTGAGGGAAAAAGCAATGTTTCCCAGCAGTGGACATTTGTCTCCTGAAAATATTAATTTTGAAGAAAATAAATTTTCCATTGCAGGAAGATGAAGTTTCCAGTGGGAAACTTCTGGTCAGCGCAGCGGTGGACCTCCTGCCACTTTCACGTAGTAAGAAAATCAAGTGTGTCTGCACTAACTGCATAAAAACTAAAATTGCTACACCCTGTCAGCTGCAGCAGTACGAGGATTAGCCCAGGATGGGACCTCTCAAAACACGAGGTGTTATCTTGTACGTCCATATGTTGCAGCCGTTCATGCCAGCCTCAAAGGCAGGACGAGGTAGCTGTGTAATTGTTTTTACGTCTTTCAGAGTTTCCATTCCCTGTTTAGAGATGCAAAGGGCTGGCATGCCAGCACTGTAACAGAAACACAGACAACAGGGCTGGAAGCGATCTCGGAAAACCACGTAAATTCTCTCACCTCTTGCCCCAAGGTGGGTCCAGGGATGAATTTAAGAAGTGGATAAACTCATCTGCTTAGTGCAGGAGAATAGCAGGTAGTGCCAGGTAGAGGTGGAAGTACTCTGCGGACCTGCATATAATGTCAGCTGCAGTTCAGACACTGCTGGGGGTTAATCAGCTGTAGATAACGAAATTATGATAGAGGCAATAATATGAAGAGATAAATGCGGTGTCTGCCTCAGTTTGATAAGATCAGGAGTTAAGTGTTCCTCTTTCAAAACATATCCCTATATACACAACACTTGAAAGCAGAAGGCTAAGAACGATGGCATTTTAACCTTCTCAAATTCCTTATCTGTCCCCCAGCAAAGCACTCGCTGCCTCAGTTTTCTCCTCTGTAAAATATGGATATTACTGATTCATAATATCTGCCTGATGGAGGAGTTTAAGCATCACTGAATGGGCTGATGCGGCTCATGGCAGGAGAAACTTGATTCTCTGAGACCAGCCAGCACCTCGTCAGCCTCGCCTGGCTCTTCTGCAGGGAGAATGCAGGATTGCATGGAAGGAGATGGATCAGAGGTTGGAAATAGCACAGGCAAAGTGGGAAAGAAGCAGTTGTGGAGGAGGATCATGGATACAATCTAAATTTCCATCTATGAGAAAATAATCCACTGTAAATATCACTTAGCTGAACACGATCACTTGCCTGCATCTGCAGATAGTCTGAAATAAGAGTGGTATGACCAACTCCAGCCTCACACAAGCCGGTATCGGCTCAATTGCAAATGCTCCCTCTCTTTAATTACTACAGGACTGATTACTGCAAGAGAAGAAAAAGATACTCTGTTTAGATCTGAGGAGTCTGGAGCTCGCAGTCTCACGTTTTGCCATGATCAAACAATAACATTTCGGTTACAGAAAGAGCTCGTATCTCCTGGCTCCAGTCTTGTGCCTGGTAAGGAGTAATAATTCATGTTTAGAAAGTACTACATAAAACTCTATCTCCAGAGGTTGTCAGGTTTACATTGCAAAAATATAGGGTAAGCAGCACAGCTATTAATTGTTAATAACTACCTCAGTAATGATTAAAAAAAAAGGGGGAAAAAATGGCAAAGGGACTTGAAAAAGAAAAAAAAAATCACTTGCTCACCACTGAAAGTGCTCATCTGCACTTTGTCACGTTCTTGTCGTCTTTGACTCATTTCCTGAGCGGACCTTGTAGCTGCCTGTGCGGTTGTGGTTTTACACCGTTGTGAAAACACCATAAAACAAGCTGGGTTTTGTTAGAGGCTTTTGTAGGGGGTTGGTTGTTTGTTTTAACAACTTTGGTTCTGATTCCCCAATGTCGTTAGGACTATTTAAATGTTTGTCATCACAACTCCAACAAAAAGTTGGTTTCTTAGGAAGTTGTAAGATGCCAAAATAGCCAAAGAAACAAACACAAGAATAAATCAAACCAGAAACCAAAAATCTTAACTGTGCTTTACTGCGGGAGGTGTACACTGCATGAATACACCATGAGCAAATACCGGAGTTCAATGACAATGAAAATACAACGCATTTTGCAACAAACACAAGAAGAAGCATGTCACTAATGGGCACGTCGTGAAGTGGGGAGTTACTTGGGATTTCCTCGAAGAGACGGAAGACTCTTGACAGATCGGCAGGCTCGGAAAATGTGCTGGCCTGTCTAGAGAAGCATATGCTGGGCAGGTAAGAAGGAAGATTTTGAGGGAGAAGATTCAATCAGCTGTTTCTCTGGGAGGAATAATCCTCTGCATTTAATCTCAATCTGTCCGTCACCTGCAGACTTGGAAAGCACGTGATAAATGTTACAGTCATTCTCAGAGAAACCACATACACGTACCGTCGTGCTGGAGGATTCTTGCATCTGTATAGAGCTGGAGATGGTATTTGCTGTGGTATTTTTGAAGACTTTCCCCTATTATTGAAAGACATGACAAAATTAAAGGTCTTGGGCAAAATTTGGTCCTCTTGCTGCAAGATCCCAAAGTGATTATGGGAGTTTTGCTGGAGCCGAGGGAAGGATGGGGCAAGACATTGGAACAGGCTGCCCAGGGAAGTGGTTGAGTCCCCATCCCTGGAAGTATTTAAAAGACGGGTAGATGAGGCGCTTAGGGACATGGTTTAGTGGGCATGGTGTTGTTGGGTTGATGGTTGGACTCGATGATCTTGGAGGTCTCTTCCAACCTTAATGATTCTATGATTCTATGATTCTATGAAGACAGCTTTGTGGGGGGTGACATACACCTTGACAGTGTTGTAGAATAAAGTAGACCTTTGGGTCAAGAAGTTCCTGACTTTGCATTTCATGCTTTTTCCTTGCAGTTTGGCTTGACACTCCTTTACAGAAAACAGAGTAGAGCAGAAATGAGAGGGAGCAAACCTCTTTCTGTCCACCCGGATTAAACCAGAAGGGCTCAAACTTTGTGGTGCTGTGCAGCAGCCATTTCTGAGCTAGCTGCCTGCTCCCACCCCTTCTCAGGTGCCCAGAAGTCTTTGCATAAACTTTGCATGGTCTGAATATGACACCTTTAAAAAGAGCTCTGCAGTTTTTCTGGGCATAGCGGCAGGAATGACCAAACATAACGGGCTACCAGAGGTCAAACAAGCCCACAAGTTCTCTTTCCCCACTTTCTCTTTCAGTTAATAGTCCTGAGCCAACTCTTCCCAAGCCAAATGGCTCTGAACTTGATATTTTACCACAGCACATCAGAAGTTCCTCAAACAACAGATGCTGGGGCCTATCTGACCCTCCAGATTGGCCTGGTGATGCTGCATCTAGGGAGGCTTCTGGTTCAGGCTCATTTCTGTTCAAAACCAGGCAATTTCTTGGCACAGAGTTGTACAAAAAGATCAGTCAGGAACGGTCCTGCTCTGCTTCATTCCTGAAAGCACTGCCTGGGAAGAGAAACTTCATCTTGAAATAAAACCATGCTGGGATCCCGCTGCGACAGAAGCTCATCTCGCCTCTTCTTCCTGCTGTAGCCACTTGCCTGCGGTTCCTCTCGGTTTCTGCAGTTGCCCCTCTCCCCTCTGGGCACGTCTGTCCGAAGTCTCCGCAGCAGGGGAACACCAGGACTTTCAGCACCCTCCCAAAAGGCACCCATGATATTTCCATGTGCTTGCATTTTCCCTTTTAGACCTGCTTTAGTCTGTCCCGACAGCCATGCCAATGAAGGAACAATCACGCTGGGCATCAGCCAGCCATGGGGCTCATGATTTGGCTTTGAGGTCTGCACAAATGCAAACATTTATTCAGAATTACCTTGAGCCACTGGTGACCTCCTCCCATCTGGACTCCCTCCGCAGCACCGAAGGGGCCGGTTCACCCTTTGGATGTTCTCACGAGCAGGAGAGGAAGAGGGTCCTCCAGCAGACCACTGATTTTCTAGAAAATTGAAGAAACCAGTCTGTGAAACCACTACCTTGCTGTCAAATTGGGCTGAAACTGGCTAATGGCTTCAAACGTTAATGGAACAGACAGACAGACAGAAATAGTACGATCACAAGCCCCATTTCCTTAGTAAACCAAGTGAAAACCAAACCAATCTCTCATACCACATATTATAAGGAAATAGGAGAAAACCAAAGAGAAACTCAGTGTTTCCATGTATTTCTGTGTCACCTGCTGTCCCATTATTCACCCACGGCAGGAAAAGCGGAGGGAGCCCGCAGGTCCTATGCCATCCGGCATTTGCAGGCTGTGTTTGTACACTTTACGCAGCAGCTGGGACTCCTCTGACGCCAATCTCTCATACCACATATTATAAGGAAATAGGAGAAAACCAAAGAGAAACTCAGTGTTTCCATGTATTTCTGTGTCACCTGCTGTCCCATTATTCACCCACGGCAGGAAAAGCGGAGGGAGCCCGCAGGTCCTATGCCATCCGGCATTTGCAGGCTGTGTTTGTACACTTTACGCAGCAGCTGGGACTCCTCTGACGGCCCCACTCAGTCAATAATGTGATTTCAAACCTAATTATTTGTTTTATCGTTGTGTGTTGTCTTTCAGCAGGTTGCTGTTTTCAGGAACTGCTGCTTCCACCTCCCAGTTGACTCATTTCATTGCAACTATTTTCTTTCACGGAGTGACTGACAGCATCTGCAGACATGATTCATTTTTTTCTGAATAAAAGAGGAAATAGATCTTCAAATGGCTACTTCTTTATTTTAGACTTGCAGGTATGCCAGAACTTTATGAGTCATTCTTTCAAAGAAGCCAAAATAGAGTATTGCCAGGAACTGGGTCCCCACCACAGTGAGATCATGGGCTCTCCTCTTGCACAGACCGCACGTGCCACAGCCCAAAACGGCGTTGAGGCACCAAACAGCAACATAGAAACTCCAGTTAGAAATGGTCTGACCTCCAGAGGCTCCAGTTACTCTCCCTAGCAAAACGATGACAAAATTCCCTCAAATTCCTTGTTTTTCTAATAGATGAAACGGGAATAGACCACTGAGGAAGGAGCTCTCACCAGAAATCCTATGTTTCCTCATCAGAAATAATTCCTAATACTAAAAGACTCATGTTTCATTGCGGCGGCGGCTGAATGGTCACACTCGAGGTGGAAATCCAGGTGCTCTGACTGTGGATCTGCTCTTCCTTATAGCTGCTGCAGAAGCTCAGAGCCCTTCTCCTGTCTCCTAGGACGAGGCACGTGGTTACACGGGGCTGTTCATCTTACACCCTCACAGGGCAACCGGGGACACTGACCCCACAGATATTTCCATCTCGTCTCACCCGAGTACTACAGCATAGCAACACAGAAAGCCTTTTTTCTTACTCCTAGGCTAGCTGTGTTTAGGACCAGCAACAGCAGCAAGAATTCTAGTCTTTGATATGTCAGCAGGAGCTAGAAAAATCAGCAGATCTGGCAAATCGGAGATGCATTGCTACGCGGTCAGAGCACAAGACTGTTATCAACGCTGCCCTTACTGACTGTAGGACACCCCAAAAATCACTTACTCTTCCCCGTGCCTTCGTTTTTTCACTGGGTAGTAGCACTTTGCACTATCTGCTGCTGCAGTAGCAAATTCTTAGGATGGGTGAAATATCTGTAACGGCATGTTACTGACCTGAGGCATTGCTTTGAGTAGTAAGTGACTTATAAGTGAGCTGCCACATTGTCGTCTCGTTGTTCTTTCTCCTTTTTTTCCTCCATTTGTCAATCTTTCCTGCTAAGGCTATGCCTACCCCAGCATGCGAAAATACACCCGACAAGGTCAGCAGAGTTAAACCAGAGCCTGGGCACTGGGGAGCTGAGTGCAGAGACACCCAAATGGGCTGTGCAAACACCAGCAAGGATCGGGAATCAGCCTCTCCATAAATTTATTAGCTCAGCTGGGTGACAGCACAGCGCGTCCACGATGCACGTCGCTGGCGGTGCGGAGAAAGCACCACGGATCTGGGGCCAAACCAATCAGCCACACAGCTCATTGCCAAAAGTACCTGAAATCCCGGGTGGGTGCTTGGCTTCCCTCCAAGCACCCACCAGACTCGTTGCCCAGCACAGGCAAACCCACGTTCATGCAACACAACCATTGACCCATCATTCAGCACGCTGTGTTCACCCCTTGCGTAAGAGATTGGGCAAGCCCAGATCACCCTGTTCCCTGCTCCAACGTCGATTGCAACATTGACTATTTGCTGCCCACCAGGAGCTCGCGTTCACAATGTCCCCAAGAGCCTGGTGAACCCTAAAAATTATCATCTACTCCTACGCCCAACAATACTGCGAACCATCAGAAGAAACTGTAAGTCCCTTGGGGCAACATTAAAAGGATCTGGGGCACAAAAGGTGTTCTCCTCTATTCTCCCGGTCAGAGGAACGGGTTTAGGAAGGAGGAGACAAATTGAACAGGTGAATGCCTGGCTGGTGCCATACTCAAGGTTTTGGCTTCTATGATCATGGATCTACCTTTGAGAAGCCAGATCTGTTGGAAGCTGATGGGACTCACTTGACCAAGTGGGGCAAGAGGGTCTTCGCCAGCAAGCTGGCCAGACTTACATGGAGAGTTTTAAACTAGACTTAGCGGGGAAGGGGGATGGAGCTTTGAGCCACAGAGAAGAGCAAGGGGCTGCTGATGCATTAGGAACCAACAAGGAAACACCAGTGAAATGCCTCAGAGGAATTAGGGCACGTTCCTCTAAAAAGATGTCACGGTTGATAGTCCAGCTGAAGTGCCTCTATACTGATGGACACAGCATGGGTAACAAGGAGGAGCTGGAAGCCATTGTGCAGCTAGAAAGCTACAATCTAATCAATATATATATTCAATATATAAAGGGAGCTTATAGGAAAGACAGAAAAAGACTTTCTACCAGGGCCTGTAGGGACAGGACAAGGAGCAACGGTGTTAAACTGAAAGAGGGTAGGTTTAGACTGGACATAAGGAAGGCATGTTTTGCGCTGAGTGTGGTGAGACATCAGAGCTGTGGGTGCCCCATCACTGGAAGCGTTCAGGGTCAGGCTGGACGGGGCTTTGAGCAACCTGATCCAGTGGTTTACACGCAGCTACTCAAGTGACAAACCGTCTCCCTGCCGGGGTGACCTAGACAGGTCCCAGGTGGTGGAAGGAAACCGGATTATTTATCTACTTTTCTGCTTAAACGTTCATTTATCCCCCTCAATCCTGAAGGAAATCCACCCCCAGGCCACGCACTTCCATGTTTTCAACAGAGGAACAAACCCCAGAGTATCCGGGTGGGCCAGGGCGCTTTTTAACACTCTGGGGAAAATCCTATTTAAAAGGGATGACCGAGCAACCCCACTGCACAGGGGCTGCTTCCCTCAGGTGGGGCCTGGAGCCACCCCATGAAGGGCCCCAGGGGTACCCCACCCCAGGAGGGGCAAGGCAGGCAGCGGGGACAGGGCCGAGGAGGGAAGGGAGGCGCTGAGGGAAGGACCACGGGAAGGGGCTGAGGAGATGAGGGAAGGGGCCAGAAGGGCTAAAGAAAGATGGGGGAAGGCCCTGAGGGAAGAGCCAAAGGAAGGGGCTGAGGGGACCAGGGAAGGAGGTGAGGGGCTGAAAGGGGACTGAGGGGAGACCCAAAACAAGGGGCTGAGGGAAGGCCCTGAGGGGCCGGGGGAAGGACTGAGGTGAGGGACGGGGTCCAGGGCAGGAGGTGAAGACTGAGGGGACGAGGGAAGAGCTGAAGACAGGCGCCGAGGTGAGCAGGGAAGGGGTTGAGGGAAGGTCCAGACCAAGGGGCCGGGGGAGAATCCTGAGGCGAGGGAAGGTGCCCGGGCCAGGAGGTGAACGGTGAAGGGAGAGGGCGCTGAGAAG